AAATAAATATTGTACGAGTTAAAAACTGAATAAGAAATACGCTAATATCACTTGAACTGCAGTACTCATTTCGCCCAACTTCCCACTTTTAATCGACAGCTTATCGCTTAATTTCCGACCGGAAAACGACTGCATTTTTATCGTAATTTTTCTCTTGTTGTCTCATTGCAAACACCGACCGGTCGCCCAAACATTGGTCACTGGCACAGGAGTGATCGAAATAGTGGTTTTGAGTGATACAGTTTGGGGATACAACTGGTACTAACTATTTTAAAATTCCGAACTACTCTTCAAATCTACACCACATTGTATCGTTCGCGGAGGAAACATCATCAGTGTCCAATATTAAATAACTGAGTTTGCGTAATTATTATGAAAGCGATATATTACAATGTTGAAATTTTTAGAGCAGTACAATATTGTAAACAACTTGAAATTTGCGTAATTAGAAAAGCAGCGCACTAAGTAAACGACCTTAAAATATACAAGTTTGCGTACAGCACATCGCGTCAAAACTAATAACAATTTTACAAGATCGACGCGCGGAGCGTGAAAGAAAAAGATTGCTAAGGTAACGCGCCTGTTCAGTGCGTGACTTGGGGGGTCAAACTTCGGTCAACACACACTGGATGTCAGCATCGCCGCGCAGTAAGTTACGCAATTGCGTCCCAAAATGATGTCGTTGATCACTCGGTCTCTATTATAAACTAGTTTCCAAGATTTTGTGCAGACAAATTTATTTAACTTTGTGGCAATATGATCTTTTTAATTTCCCAATCCTTTCTGTTCATTCATGGTCTTGACAACAAGTGTGAATTGCTGTGCGAGCCTTTCGTTCCCGACCGCGGTTAGACGGCGTCATGAAATCCATGCATAAAAGGCGGGCGACCTGCGGCCGTTTAATTTCCTACTCTCCCCTAAGCTAGCCGTTGGTGAGAATGGTTATTAATATATTACCCGATGTACATTGAAAATCGGACAGTCATAGCGCAATTGTGTTGAAACATTTTTGGGGCAGTAAGTAACGTCAGAATATTGTTTAAAATAAAATATTCCATGGCAATCAAATCTAGGCCAAAGGGTCAAATTGCGTGCATATAATTATAGATAGTTAAAAACTAAATATATTTGAATTTTTGACGGCTATTCAACGTTTTTGCGAACCATAATAAAAAAAGGTATGTGTATACAATAGCTATATCGCTGAGATATGGAATTTGTTACAATATTGTACCGGCTCTAATATTGAACACATATAAAGTTGCGTTCGCGAACGATACAAAGTGGTATAGATTTGAAGAGCCGTTCAGAATTTATAATAGTTAACACTCGTTGTGTCCCCAAACATTTTGACCACTTCTGTGCCAGTGACAAAAAACATTAAAAAGTAGGAAGTTGGGCGAAATGAGTACTGTAGTTCAAGTGATGTAAGCATATTTCTAACTAGTACAATATTAATTC